TATATATATATATATATATTGAGGTTATCTTATGTCTTGGTAATAGACAAAACTTTATGTTGGTATATGTGTGTGTGTATGCATATGCATTAACTTGCATATTGATTCACATACATATATCTTTCTAAAGTAAAGTCTGCTGTTTGTGTATTCAGATCTGCCTGTAAGTGAAAGTCCATCTGTTGCATCTGACAGAATTTTTTCTTCTGTGATACTCTGATGAAGGTTTTGCAGCTTGTCTACGTTTGTTTTGTAAATTTTTGTTTTTAACATAACACCCGTGATTATTTTGTTTTCAACTGGAGAAATTTCCTTTTGCTTTAGCCATATTTCCAATAGGTGTGCCAAGTACAAACTGTCACAGTGAAATGTCTTTTTTACTTGCAGGAAGTGTACACAGTTGGGGACAAGTGGCCACTTTGTTGCCTGGGCTACTATTTCATTAGCCATTAGCAAGTATTGTCCATCCCCCTAACCAACACTGAATGTCACATGAATGACCTTCACAATTAGTACAGTGAAAATAAATGAGTTGATAAAATATAAACATCCTATCTCTAAAAATACATGTGGTAATTATAACATTCTATTGATGCAAAATTGTAATATAAATGCAGAATATTAAAAAAAAAGAGTAGTTGGTCTAACTTTTACCTAAATAACCTTGTTTAGAACATTAAAGAAAGCAACCATGGTACAGGAGAATAGTCACAAAGAGATAGCCAATAGTCAGAAAACAGGAAGCAGTGAGTAGTATAATAGCAAAAGTATAGTTAACAAGTTAATCTCAACAAGGAGACGGGAGAAACTGGATACATAAAAATGAATAATAAAAGAGTAAAAAAAAAGGAATTGAGGAACCTGGCCAAAAAAAAACTCACTACCATATCATAAATCACTTTTCACAAACTGAGATTTGACTATCCCTCACTCTTAGAAATTTCATGAAGGGCAATAATAATGAAAGAAATAGCATTTTTTAGACCTTGTACACTAAACACTAATGAAACTTTAAGTTTATGCCTGAATGAAAGTTTATAAGATAATATATAACAAATTTTTAGCAACATTTAAATAAAAATTATGTTTTCATATCGGATATTAAAGTTTTATAACTAATTCCTTAGTCTTGGTTTTTCTACTGACATCAACAAAGCCAAACTAAAATACATTTAGAAACCTTGTTTTATATTTTCAACTAACATTTAATGTCATTTTTTGCTGACCGTTATCAATATTTATCTCTTTTCACTTGTATGTGTGTGTGTGTGTGTATATATATATTGACAAAGCTATGTCTCGTCTTATGCACCATATAATCATTACAAGAATGTTTTGTTTTTTTCAAGACATTATCAAAAAATAACCTGTTAGACAGCATCATTTCTTATTGATCTAAACATGTGTTTATAATAAATGCGTTCAACGTTATATGATAAAATATTTTTTTTATTCCTGTAATGATACTAGGTAGAAATGGAGAACTCTTTGTAAGTGAAGACATTCAGACACCGATCATTGCAGTTGAATACAAACTGAAAATTTTGAGCTTGTTGCTATGTATGAGATTTAATATGAACTAAATCTTTATGCATTCTCTATGGGCATTTTTTAGTTCATCTCTCTCACAAAAAATTATATTACTTAAAGTAATTTATCATTCTAAGAGTAAATCACAAACATAATTGTTGAAGTGGTTAATTTTGTAGATTTGAGTCTATTTACAACTGGTTTTATTTTTTTATATCATAAAATTATGACAAAATAGCATGTCTACATAAAAAGAACATTAAAAAAATATTTCATTGTAAAACTAAAATCAAAAAAGATTAACCACTGGGATATGATGGAGAGTAACTATGTAAAAAGAATGAATACTTTACTCACATTATTTTTATGCACTAACTGTTCAGAAAGCAACTTTAAAATTTATTTAATAAAAAACTGTTACATAAGTCTCCTAATTTTGACCTTTAACTAAATCTTTAATGTCTTGACTTTTTAAATAAGTTAATTTTGTAGAATATTTTATTTACCAATCTCAAAAAACACATATGGAACATCCTTTCAATACCTGTTTGAAGGTGAAGAAAAACCTTAATTATACAATGTTAAAAACAAATCATCAATTTTCCCTAGTGTGGGAGTTTTGACATTTGTTTTCTAGGTATCTCCTCTTCTCTAATTTATTTACCACCCCATCAAGAAATATGAAATTTATCATAAATTACTCATTATAATCTTATCAAAGCATAGTTTTTATAGCCTTCAATCTTATTTAGTTAGAGTCATAAAATAGAAAGTCATACCCCAATTGCTATGCACATCCATCACATCCTCTCTTTCAGCAGTTGCCAATAGTTCTCAGAAGTTTAATACTATATTATTTACAACCAATAAAAAAAAACCAAGGTTTTGACCTGTCAAATCATGTATTATATTATGTTGCTTTTTGTACAGAGAATTGTCTATTTCGTTTTCAGTTTTTTATTCCCACAGGAAACACCTTGACAACCTTAGCTGAATTTTTCAAGGCTCTTTTCACATTGTTAGAAAGCCTGAAAATTTGTGATAGTTATGGGAAATTGTCTGTTTTTGTATGCTATTATTCTGTATTCCTTAATGCTTTATTTAATTAAATAAAGCATTATTTAGTGCAGTAGTACCATTAGTATATATGATTAGGATTAAGTGTCATCGATATTAAAACAAAAAGACCCAGATAAGTACTTTATTTCTTGTTTCTCATGTGTATATTTTATTTATTATTATATAAGTTAGTAAAATGTAATAATTAGAATATTTCTAGGTTCAATTATATAAAATGAGTAATAATAATAATAATAATTGTTCAAGAGACATACTTGGGAGTAGACTGTGCATTATGTAATTTGATAGGGTAATGTGAGCTACACATTTGCCAAGTAATTTACAACTAATGTGGTGGGAATATTAATTGAACATGGTTTAAAGAGCAAAAAAGCAATAAAAGTGCAAAGTGATTTTCTTGTTATGATTTGAAATAATTTCTTCCTTTGAAAATTGTCAAATTTAATCTGAGTAATGTCTAAAATATCCTAAATAAATATAAAATATTTTTAGCAATAAAAGTATTTTATCTGTTATTTTCTATACCTTATCTTTACACAATCCTTTGATTTGACTGATCTTGTAACCATCATATAAAAAAACAACTAAATAAATCAATCCTTCCCCTTTTTTCTGTACATTGTAACAGGAAACTACAGTTTGTTTATCTTAAAGCTCATAACATAAAGCTTCAAGCTCATAACAGTAAAGGTAGATTTATACCTATTTTATTCTTTCAAACTAGTTGTAAATCACTCGGTGAATGTACAGCTTATTTTATTGTATTGAATGACACAACTTACAAGCTGCTTTTAAGCAC